ATGTAATACAAATTTATATTTGAAATACTGTTTGTATTGGAATTTAAACCATAACAATTTTAATAGACTTAAACTGAGTATGTGCACTTACCAAGTTCTTTCTCAGACCTTCCAGCATTTGAGTGGTTACCACGCCCATATGATTTACATTTTACACCATCTTTTTAGGAGCAATATTAATATTTAATACAACAAATTGTTTCACAAACCCAACGATGCCAGGAAATAAGTGGAAAACTGAAACAAAAATAAAGAATACCAAGAAGGGACAAACTACATCATAAACAAAGACAGCCTACTTCAGACAAAAAATACATGAGACATGAGACATATAAGTAAAAAATGAGGGACAAATTATAATAACAATCACAAGAGTCAGAATGCATAAACATTTCAATAACACAGAGTAAACAGATGGGAAGATATTAAATTAAACCAACAATACGACTTACGGTCATTTGTTAGTCATTCCTTCTCTAACTTCAAGAATTCTAAACTTTGAAATAAAAAGCTTCATAAGCATCATAGTTTGATAAAAAAAACAACATACTGAAATGAACATACTGTTTTATTTTTCATTTTACTACGCAAGTCTGTAAGTTCAAAGCATCAGAGATACATGGTATTAGGCTAATGTTATTTTGCTCTTGTAGTTCATAGAGTACATTCCTGTTAATTAAAACCCTCATGTGGTGTTTGGGTCCTTTTTGCTCTGAAAAAATTTTCTTTTTCCCGAAAATACTAGTTAATGTTATTGCATTGGACTGAAATTTTGTGTCTTCAAAGTGAATGGGAAAGAATGAAAGTAATAGAAACTATTAGTGTTCAGGAGCATGTTGATCATGTTCACGTTCACATATGTACGTGTGCTTGCAAACATAAAGGCCTTGGACCTTTTCATGTTTGGATGCATGCATACTCACGCTAACACACACACACACACACACACACACACACACACACACTTATACAAACCATTGGGAGTATTAAAAAGTTTTCTATTTCATCCTACCCTGAACTGCATCCAATATCATTTCATCAATCTGATAGTATAACTCTCTCTTTCTCTCTCTCTCACTCATCCACACACACACACGAACTGGCTTCACCCCTGCTTCAAAATAATCTTTCTTTCATCTTATTTCGTTCATCACACCTTCTAGACAAAATATTATGACAATAGGTATTGAGGCTTTCATGTTCTCACAAAGCAGACAAAAGTAAAATATCTCTGCGAGAGAACGCAAAAGGGAACGCAAAAGTTTTGCGAGGGAACGCAAATATCTTTTGCGAGAGAACGCAAAAGTTTTGCGAGGGAACGCAAAATATCTTTGCGAGAGAACACAAAAGGTAACGCAAATATCTTTGCGAGAGAACGCAAAAGTTTTGCGAGGGAACGCAAAATATCTCTGCGAGAGAACGCAAAAGGGAACGCAAAAGTTTTGCGAGGGAACGCAAATATCTTTTGCGAGAGAACGCAAAAGTTTTGCGAGGGAACGCAAAATATCTTGGTGATAATATAGCATAATGAGTGATTTATAAGCAATTTTTTGAGGCCGGGTCCTTTTTGCTCTGTAACCTCGTAAGTGTGATAGGGTTCTGAACACAACACAAGGGTTAAACAGCTACATGCTGCTTATTCAACAATCTGGCACACGGACAGCAGTCTGAGTATGTAACAGCCATTGATCCCTCTTAACGGTAATTATAATCACATATAACCTATAAGCAATTACTGATATCACTCTAATACATAAACATCTCCTGATTAGTTATCATTTGGTGTCAGTTATCTTTATCAGAGAGTTTTTGGATACAGGACACACTGACATCGGATGTTAAACCTAGATTAACCAGGTCATGACCAGAAGCTTCTCTGAGATGCTAAGAGTTAATTGTCAATTAAGAACACAACAATTCTATTTCCCCTACTGTTCGTGCCTACAGCTGTGACTGAGGGGAGAAAACGTGCCAGTGTTTTTTATGCTTTCCATTATCGACAGCTGTCTACTTTATATCACTTCCTCTGATTTACCTCTCCTGACATTCTCCTCACTCAGAATGCGATATGCAGTTGGGATGGAATGTGTAAAGGCATCCTGTTTTTCGAGCGGGACAAAGATGGCTGTTGGCGGTGCAACAGACATTGAGCTCAAGGGAGAGATGGACGCTGCCATTGTTTCAAATATTAATATTGTTGGGGGCATAAACCTCATGAACTTGTCAAAGTAATTTAGTATTTGTGTGTTCAAAAGGATTGCATCTCTGGTAAATTAAACTATCTTGAAGTAATATAAAAAAAAAGACAATTCTGTAAGCCTAATCATTTATTCACCCTAGCTGCAGTTAAGCATCATAAAAATAGGCCTATCATAAAAGTGGCTCATATTTTGTGCTGTATGGGAAGACTTTTGACACCATTTGATCGTAACTCAAGAACTAAATCAGTCCGATTAGTGAATGAATCATTCAGACTGGTTTTGTGAACAAATCAACGGATTCATTGAAAAATTAGACTCAAATGAATCGTTTGCGACTTTGAACAACTATAGGCTACAGCAAATAACCACTTCCAGTCTGTTTGTCACATAAACCTTGGCTTCTGAAAACTTGAAATACATAAAAGTGCACAAGTCATAGCATATATATTGTAATTTGGTGCTTGACTGTCCCAGTCAAGATTATTTTGAAACAAGTGGCCAGGAGAAACATCAAATGCTGTCGTAGATAAGAGATTTCTTATTATAATAATAATAATAATTATTATTATTATTGGGTTCCTTTTGTTTTTTATTTATTTTTTGTTGCAGACTTCCCGTAGTCCATCAAGTTCTTTTACCTGTGTTGCTCAATATTTGATAATTATTGAAAAAAATCCACTCAAATGAATCGTTTGCTAGTTCCCCCCCCGTGATTTACAGTGAATAACAACTTTGGAATATAGCATACAAGTCACAATAACTATTGTCATTTGGTGTTTGACTGTCCTAGTCTTTATTATCTTGAAAAGAGTGGCCAGGAGAAACAACTAGTAAATGATGAAATGTTCCTTGCTCCCAAAATCCCAGAGGTTTTGGTTCAGTATTTCATAATTAAAAGCAGTTTTATAAGGCTTCTCATACCAGTACAATGATGTAATGTAGACGTATATGTTTTTCCCTGGTATTGTGCTCATTGAAATTGCAGTTATCTCACCATCAGTCACTGTGGTCCATTCATGTGGCTGCATTTCTCACACATACTAAACACATTTAAATGAGCAGACATGGTGAGAAACCATGAGGCAATAAAGGTTATGCATTTGCTTAAGGAATGTCTGGATTGATATGATACACATACAGTAGACATGCAATGTATTACACGTTCAATAACAGAATAATGAAGTAATGCACGTTTTAGTCCATTTTAAATGTACAATACTCTTAGACTAAAAGGAGATACAAATACAATTTGTGAATAAAATAATCAGGATAAGTTCTTGGATTTTGGATTTTGGAAAATGGCCTTATGTGCACTGTTGGCTTATATTATCTATCATGACAGGAAGATGGAACCCATCAAGGCTGTTGTTGTTCTCACATTGCTATTGTCTACACGGTTTCTTTCCCATGCGCCTGCAAGCTTCCTGCCTAATTCACCTGCTCTACAAGAGTCTATCTTTCACATCACAACAACATGTCAATGTGTCCAAACTAATTACTTTTTAACCACGTACACACCCTTTGAGATTTCATACCAAGGTGCTTTGTCAACAGAGGAATAGGCAGTGATCCAGGGCAATTATACAAACCTACGTATGCAAGAGATAATGCCAACAATGTTTTAACATGAAGTGTAATTGTGGGCTATTGTTTTATTTTTTAACATAATCCGGTAATGTCCAATTCCTGCAGGTGACACAGAGACAAGACAACAGCAGAGTGACAGACGGATGTACTTCAGATACTTGTTATTTTGAGGTGAATTTATTAGGATTCTTAATAACAAATCTAATAGATTTCATATAACATATTCAGAGTATGTGAAAATAAATACATTTATGGAATAAATAAATTTCATCATAATGATACAAAACTTTTTTGTGAAACCATATTGCTGATACAATACAGGAATCTTTCTCTACAGAATTCTTAATGATTAAACATAATAATCACAAGAAAATATATGTATGTATACATAATAAGATTACATAAGGTTACATTAATAAGATTACAGCCTATAATCTTAAAGTGCATACTTATTGTGTGCTCTACACTGATAGTGCTCTAAAATGTTCCAGTGCTATTCAATAAATTGGAAAGTTCTCCAGCTTTTTTTGGCAAGATTAAATCTATTGTCCATCATAAGGTCATAACAACAGATTGCAACAACACAACTGTCTGCATCACTTATGAATACATATAATGCTAGGTAAAGCTGAATTGATATTAAAAACAAGGGCACGGTCCATATAGAGTGGTCAACCTTATGCTATATTCTCAGAAACATCCTATTATTATGCCAACTTTGAGAGCATTTAGGTTACAAGGAATCCAAATTGTTGCAGTTTGGGGCTCCAATTGTCGCAGTCCAAGATGCAATCCTTTTTGGAATGACACTCAATTTGGAACTATTGTTTGTAAATAATTAACTACTCAAATATAGGTCATCTTTTGTCTCTCCTAAAACATAATTAGTCACTTTTAAAATTTATTTTTACACGTTTTCTGTTTTGTTAAAATGGCTCCAATGGTGCCAATAAATTGTAGAAATACTGCAGTTTCTAACTATCTGTGCTCTTCCAACCAACTTTCATTAGCACTTCACCTGACTCTTTTATCTCTAACCATTCAAACTCTGTGTTTTTTTGACTAACTATGATCCTGTCAGGTAGCTCATAGCCACTTAGCTAACGTCCTGTTTGCACTACAGGACTGTCGCTAACAACTAAGCTTCTTTTGTTGACTTGCCTTCAATTCACAAATATCTCCTTCACGTCTCACAAGCCTTCATCTCTCCCATTAAACATGCGACAAAGGCTCGGTTTCCACAGGACTGTCCTTGAGGAAAGCTGCTTGATCGCAGCGTATGCATGTTCTGCTGCCCCTGGTTTCACAAGGGTCATTTTTTTGTTCAAGTGCTCGCACTCCCATCTCATCTAAGTAAGGACTTCATCTGTAGCCAGGTTTACTGGCCTTGGATACCTTTCCCATGGCTCTGGCTCTAGCCCTAACCAGGTTCCTGAAAAGTCAGATGGGTTTGTTGTAAGTAATGGTGTTAATGAGGACACATTCGCAGAATAAGGTGTGTAAACATGAATTTCGTGATTTGTGTAATGTGGCCTTACCTGAGGAAGGTTATAACGTCTGACCGAGCCCCAAGGGAGGAAGACTTCCCTAAAACCAGAACTCCTGGACTGGCATTTTGGGAGTTATTTAGGGCAGTCAGTTGATCTGATTTGGGTTGTTCCTGTTTTTTAGTCACAGGTTCAGATGGGTGAACCAGCATGATGGCAGGATTTTCAGAGCTTGGAGAAATATGCGCAAAATTAGTAAATGCATCAAAATAAACACTGCATTGTCTTATATGACTGCTATAATGGCTAATAAATCTATTAAAAAGTCAATAAGTATTGGGGAAGCTACTTCAAACTTTAGCTAGAAGCTAATTACAATTTCAAGTCTACTTTCGTTACATCATCTCTTTATAAACAGCATATAATGAAAATTTGGTGATGCTACACCGCTACTCATTACGGGTACAGCTAAGCTACACTTTAAAAAATACACTACAAACAACTAACAAATAGCTATATAGCTAACTATAACATGTTTGGTTGTGCTACATTGCTACTTGTTAAGAAAAACTAACTTTTTAATGTACAAAAAATGTTGTTTTGAAAATGCTGTTGAATATCTAGCAACATTAGCAGCATTGCAGCTAGTTAAGGCCCGTTTACACCTATATAATTGTAACTATATAATTGGAATCAATTTCAGAGTGACTTTTTTCAGCCGATGAATGATAAAAACGTTGACAATGAACCAGCTAAGACCAGTTAACAGGTTATTTGGTTGTCATAACAACAGATTACAACAACAAAACGGCATCGTTTATGAATACAGCTGCGTCCGAAAGCCTAGGCAGCTGACTTGCTGCCTCGCTACCTTACGAGGCAATGACTTTGCAGGCAGCGTTTTTGCACAAAGGCACCATATGAAACTGATTTTGGACAGGCTTCTGAGGCAGCGTAACGGTTTAATGATCTACAACAAAATAGTACGAGCTTTGGTGATAACTAAACAAATATTTAATTAATATAGTACTGATTTCTTGCTAGAAATAACATCAAAAGTGCAAAAAGTTAGTCAGAAATATACATTTACACACAAACAGACCAGCAAATGCAACTTTCAGACACCATCTTTATTTTTTAGCTCAACCGTCACGGAATGGAACACACAGGATTGTGGGATATCAAAGGATATCATCTATGCTGCCTTCAAAATTCGATCAGAAGAACGTACCTCCGGAGACAGGAAGTGAAGCAGAATTTGGATTCGGACGTGCCTTGATGCCTTCCTGCCTTGGAATGCTGCCTCCGAAGGCAGCATTATAGAGCTTTCGGACGCAGCCTACATAACTGTGGTTAAAAGCTGATAATAGATAAGACTGCTTTAATGACTAAGCAGCCTGTCATAATGACAATTTTTTTTTCTTGCGGTATCAACTAGCAGTCATGGCCTAAAAGCCATTAGCTAAAACTCTGACTCAGATGAAACTCTCTCCATTTTAGTAATTCTAATTCAGAAACATTCTCCTGTCATATAGTCTGGATTCTCCAACTGTGTTTGTCTGGTATCACCTCACACCCTCATGATAACTCCACACGCCCTAATCGTGCACACCCTTTCATTAAAAATAGCCTTCTAAAGAAGAATGACTGTCACTTCCCACAAATTTGCGCATGGCTGTCACTTGATCGGTAAGGTGCAGTTGAGAGATAAGGCTCACCTGTAGTGACAGAATGCATTGCATGTCTGATCTGCAGGACTGGCACAGAAGCAGCGGCCTGTAGACCTGCGCCGGCGAGCCAACGGACTGCCCAATCCATACACTGTGGTCTTACTGTGGAGGAGAGGAGACACCCAGAACGCATCCAGTCATTGATTAACTCATCAGAAAGGGGATCACAGGAATAAAATACAATGGGACTTTGTACTTTTTTAACTTTAAGCATGAGAATTACATCTGGCGCCAAAAGTATTCTAGACAAACAGCAATAAAATGCACAATAACTCAAAAGTGAATCTTTTTGAACTATAAAAACACTCTCATTGAAGTCACAAATGTGCACTGGTTTACTGAAACGGAAACAGATTTACGGAATACGTCCTGAATGTTTCCTTTCGGCATCTAAAGAGTCTTTGGCATTGGTTGAACTTCCGCTTTGGTTTACTTACATACGGTTTACGCAGGTTAGCCCATGCATGGGTCAACACTCACCTTGGCGTGTTCACCCAGATGATGTCCAGATGGCAGAAATAGTGGCATTCCGAATCCAGCTGGTTGTTGCAGGAGCAGCGTTTGCTCCTGACCCTATGGGTTGCAGACGGGTCACTCGGGTCGGTCTGGGGCACTAGAGGCAAACCCCAGCCTGCAGACAAGAGATATATTGTGGTCCATAAAACTTTCCGTAATCATTCTGGGCCGTAAAGCTCCAGCAGAGACTATATGACTGAGTCTCAGAGAAATTATGAGCTCCGTACACCACATGTTATTATTATTATATACTTTTATGATTTTGATTTATCACCTCACTCTATTCCCACTTCTCTCCGCTATCTTATGTAATGACGAACAAGGTCTCAGATGTTCGATCTTAACGAATAGCGGGCAGCTGTAAAGTTCACAGCTATTCACACACATCTGTGCTGAGTTGTCAGTTTTGGCTTTAATTGTCGACACTGAGGCGACAGATTAGTACAAAATGAATATGAGCCCCTGACTGTGTTCACATATTGTCAGACAGATGTTTAAAATTATAAACAGTTACAGAACTGTACGAAGCTGAGTTTAAAGTGAGTTTAAATGTAAAACAAAATTAAATTATAAATGTCTTATCTCAACAAGCTTGAGAATGAAGGCACAGTTAAAAAGGTATTTAAAATATAATAATATTTTTGTAATAATATAATATAAAATCTAATAATAATCAAGTAAAACTAAAATCATAATTCTAAAATCATTATATATAAGTAAATGCAAAGTAAATGTAAGGTTTCCAATTTTTTTATTATATTTTTATATAATATAAATAAAAATACTACGAATATATACTATATATTTATTAAAATCACTATTACAGGTGCATATTAAAAAGCAAACACTAATAAAAAAATAAAATGACAAAAAGACACACTTTAACTAAAATAAAAACAAGTTAAAAATCTTACAAAACTGTAATCTCCATTATACTAAATCTCCATTATACTAAAATAATATATACATATAATAAAGTTCACTAATAATCACTACCAGGGAATGTATGGCCTGATAAAATAAAATAAAATGCAATTAGCATAAAAATAGAATGCACTGTAAGACAAAAGCATAAATGCAAAGTAAATTAACATTTTAATAAAATTTAATGTAATAAAACTATCACTATAAAGATACATTACATTGTATGAGTGACAATTAACGTTGAGTGCCTCTGCACTGTCAAAGAAATCTGCCTTACAGGAACTGAAGATGAGCAATGTTCATCAGTGCATGAGCAAAGTTGGGTTTCCGTGATGGTTTGCCGTGACCGGTGCAAAGATAAGACACAGGGGCGCAGCCTCACAGGTATCGGGCTGAGTTTGCAAATGCGGCCCCCTAGCGTGGGATGTGCACACAGTGTCCATTCACAGACTTTCCAGCACATGTGTACGGAGTCAGCAGCAGCCGCTGTGGGTCATGCAAATGCATCATAACATAATCTCACCACATACTTTGATTAGCATGTTTTATCAACTGCATCGTAAAACCCAGATGAGAGTTTGCTGAAGCACTTCTCTCATCGCAGCTGAGAAAAGTCCCTCGTGCTGATAGAAATATTAATATGGAAATCATATTGAATTAGTAATTTGGACATTGCATACATCATCCCACATTCAGATGGAAAGATTTTATGCACTGCAAATATATTTCCAATATTTTTGGGAAGGACAGGATGCTTAAAATCACTTTTATAGTTGACAGTCTTAAATATGTTCTTGAAAACTTGGTTAACTTTTTTTCCATGCATAAATTTGAACTTATATATGTATATATATATATATATATACACACACACACACACACACATATATATACA